CACGAGATAAGGTGAGATAAGATGAAAAATGAGATGAACGAAAATGAAATGAGATAAAATAAGATCAAATTTTATGATCTGCTTGAAACTTTTTAGATCCTAAACTTTGTATATTTAAAATGGCAACTAGGAAGTTTCAAGTTGATAAATGACTTACTTTCTGATATATGTTTGTTTAAATTCCCCTGTCGACCCACTTTCTGCACGTTTCTTTTCGTACATTCAAACTTGACGCTGCATTTGAACGACAATATCTCAGGAACCTGTTAAGATAAAAGCCTGAGATTTTCACAGTTTTTTCTCATCATGTCATTGATTCTGCAGTGTTAAATACATCAAATCATGTCTTGTTAAAGCTGAGTTGAAATATGGGAAAAGAATGTAAGTCATCATGCTGAAAGTTACAAACATGCCTCCATTAGAAATACAGTTTTCTTGGTTATATTTTGAGAACGATTTTAAAACTCCAGAACTCGGTTCAACTTGAATCAGACTCTCTATTTTGTTTTTCTGCAACAACTTCTGCTCAATCAGTTTTAAAAGTTCAACAAAATTAACTTCAACTTAATTGTTTGTGATCAAGTGTTTCATATTGAAAAATATTCTATATGTTTTATTTTGTATTATTGTGACATGTGGTTCAGAAAAGATCCCGAGTTGACTTCAGTTTTCTCATATTTTAACTGACCTATGATCAGGGAGTATTTGATCTACTTGTCCAATATTGCAAATTCTGATTAAAAAACATGATGAGAAATAACAGTGAAAATTTCAGGTTTTTATCTTCAATAGTTTATGAGACACTGTTGTTCGAACAGCCTCAAATTTACACGTGTGAAAGAAAGTGCTGAAAGTGGATCGACAGGTTCATATTTTATCTAAAAATGTATACGATAGATCAAGCTACAGTTTCACAGATATCTTTGTTAATATCATTAATTTAAACTGTTAAATTTTCTGACAAATCAGAGATGGTCGAGCAGAAACAGATTTACATTTTAGCATCAGCTCTGAGCCCAGATTTGACCAGATGCCGTTTCCTACCGACAGATAACATCCCCGAGCAGTCCGGCTCCAGCTCCGAGGGCGAGCCGAAGAAGGAGGCGCCGGTCATCCCTCCCCGGCCCAGTGCGGAGCTCATCATGGAGCGCTGCACCGACAAAACCCGCAAGAAAGTCAGCATCCACAAGTCACAACCCAGCTCCACCAGCTAGCAGCTAAAAATCACCATCAAACAGCCGCTTTAGAAGCTTTTCTCCAGACAAGATGGTGGCTCAGGTACAAAATGTAGCGATGTTCAGGGCGTCGTATGCTCTCATGAGATCTTCATGAGATGAAATACGATGTGATGAGATAAAAGATGAGATATGATAAGATAAGTTAAGATAAGGTGAGATGAAATTAAAAAAGATGAGACGAGATCAAATAAAATGATAAAATTCGACGAGCAAAGACGTGATGAGATAAAATAAAATAATATTGGATAAAATAAAATTAGATAACATAAAATGAGATTTTTAAAAATTGAAATTAGATAAAAATGAGATGAGATGAGATAAATTCACCAATAAAATCACCATCGAGTTGCCTTTTAGGAGTTTTTCTCCAGACAGGAAGGTGGCTGCATTATAAAGTGTATGTTTAGGGCATATTATGCTCCTATTTCACCACAAAACCTCTTAAATATATCTTATTTCAAACAGCCGCGCACTAGAATTTTTTAGTCGCACACATAAGAGCAAACTGTGCATGTGCTGGGGACTATTTTCGGCGGCGGATTAATCCACATTTGAAGCTGTGTCTATGCACACTTTAGCTAAATTACATGTTGTTTTGGTGTTTTCAGAGCTTCCTCTTTGCAGCGTAGGTGTTTAGGTTCACAAAAAATGCTTACTTTGATGCCATCTGGCAGCGTTATCAAGAAAAAACAGAAATCTGTTCATGTTTGGTATCACAGATTAACACCAATGAAGCACTTCTGGATGCTAATTATTATAAATGGCATCATCGGTGATCTCTCTCATGTCTAGATTCTGTCTTCCCTGCTGTGTCTGAGTCCACGATGAAGAAAGACAATAACATAGTAATAGTCAAAAAGCTTTTACTCAGTGGTGGAGCGTTAAGGTGGGCTTAGCTTAGCATAAAGTCTGGAAAACGAGGAAAACAGCTAAACTGGCTCAAACCAAAGATGATAAAATCCACCTTTCAACACCTCCACAGCTTGCTTTCAGTATAAATAAAACATGTTAGTCAGAGATTGTGGAGCAGTTCAGAGTGGAGTCTTTATGCTATGGTAAGCTAAGCTAAGCTAACCCAGCTAAGCTAAGTATGAAGCAATTAATTTGAGCCCTGGTGTTTATTTTTAAGCATGCAATCTGTAGAAGTTTGTTTTTTATTTATTTGCTCAATAAATTTATATTACAATGAAAAGAAATGTGAAGAATTTTTTGTGTCTCTTTGTCATAAAACTGAACATCTTTGACTTTTAACTCGTCGGCCATAACAGGACATCTTAAGAAATCGCTGTAGAATGAAAAATGTGCTTTCTTTGTTGACATTAAATAAACAAAAATGTTGTCATGTTGAGCAAGCTGCACTGTTTTTTATAACAAAACAAAAAAACAAAAAAAAAGACATTTAAAAGTGTTGCTTTTAGCTCTGGAATATGTCGCTTTTTACATTTCGCAAAACAAACAATAAATCGATTGATCAAGAAAATAATCAACAGATCATAAATAAAAACAAACCTGGCAGTTTAGATTATAATTCCTGAAATGCAACGATGAATAAATGTGTAGAAATGTTTATATACATCACAGCTTGTTGTCTTTAGTAATGTACAGTCAATTTACACTAATACAGGAATTTTTAATGAGACAACAGAAATACAAAGACAGAAAAATGTCATTTAATATAGAAATAGATCTAAAATACTGTACTTTCACTTTAATAGAAAAACAGTTTTAAGGCATTCACAAGCAGACAAACCTCAATTTCAGCTGTATCGGCTTCTTAAATGTGAATATTTAACAGACACTTTACACCATCAACAATCAGTTGACTGTTAGGATGAATAATATTACTTTGGTTGAAATAGAAAATTAAATGCAATAAGAAATATATGATCCCAGCATTAATAACTTCAATGATACCAGTAATCAATTCCAGGCTCCGTTTATTATTTATGGTTATTTTTATTCATTTGGATTTTTTGAAAGGCATTGCTTGTATTTATTGCAGCATTTGTACATATATTGGCCTATATTTATATATTTATTGATGAGCAAGTACATTTTTGTCTTACATGTTGTTTCCTCCACCTCCAGGTTGCAACAGCAGCTTTTAGATTATTGATTTCGAGGACTATGCATCAAGACACCTGTTAGGCAGGTGGATATATAGAAGTAAAGCCATGAAAAATACATAAATTAAGTATCAACAGGAAAATATTTGACCCCGACGTGATTTGAACACGCAACCTTCTGATCTGGAGTCAGACGCGCTACCGTTGCGCCACGAGGTCTGTTACATTGAGAAGAAAATATTAGATATATATCGTCATTAAGCCTTTCGATAGCGTCTACTTTTGTGTGTTTGTTTGTTTTAAATATCTCCTCAGTACATTATTTATGGATCACTGCGCTATCGCAAAAGCAAAAACAACGAAAGACTAAAGGAGCTAGGTGACAGTGATACGTCTGCTAGCTAACTTCCGTTAGCGGGGTTTATGGTAAGCTAGGTCAGCCAGCCGGCTGCCTTTAGCATCACGACAGAGGAAAAGGGATAAAGTAAGTGTCTTAAAATGTAGTAACACAAAGTGATAACTCACCTAAAGCGTTAATTCATGCAGGTAACGCACACCGAAGTAGAAGAGGGGTTTGTTTTTAACGTACTTACCATGATAAAAGGGATTTGTGCCACGTTCGCATTAGCTGGTTAGCTACAAATGACGGCCACGAGAAGGAGAGAGTTTTTAAACCCGCTCAGGTAAAGAGACAAATGAAAAGTTCAGAGCTAAAGTTTGTATAAAAGTGACACATAATTGTGACGACTAAGTGAAACAAAACATGTAGAGAAATGAAACGTAGGAGAGGGACGAGGTCTCTATAAATAACTTGGTCGTTTTCATGTAATGCATCTCTCCCTGGTGGTCTAGTGGTTAGGATTCGGCGCTCTCACCGCCGCGGCCCGGGTTCGATTCCCGGTCAGGGAACAGAGATTTTTGTTTGTTTCTTGACTTCTTAAGCAATAATATATGACTAAATAATTGTTGTAAATTAAATGAGACGAATGACTTCCACTATTTTTTATATATTGCTTTGTTACTTGTCTTATTTTCTGTTTATTGTATTTTTTTTAACCTGTATTATTTTGCTTATATTAGCATATATATATAGATGGAGTAACAGGTGAGCACAGGCTGCTTCTTCCTGTTCAGAGTAAATCTTTCATGTTTACGAGTGTTTTGTCTGAACAGTCACTGAGACATCTGAAGCTTTTTGTTATAGTGTATTAGGAAGCTACAGTCTGAGGCTAAACTGTTGGCATGAAGTTTGCTCTAAACTGCCTGGATGATGCACTTTTATTAAAATGGTAACTAAAGTAAACCCCATTTGGATGAAAGAGCAGTTTTCACCTGCAAGGAGAAGGACGAGGGAATCATCTGTAGAAAGAAGGTGATCAAGGAACTACCAACACCTCAAAAACAAGACGTCTATATTCCTCTGCAGTGTGGCTCAGTGGAACGTTGGATAGTTTCCCAGTTGTGTGACGAGAATTGCAGCGGACTTGGACTTCATTTTGATCTTGCTAATATGCCTGAGTGCAGCGCTGACAAGTGGAATGTTCCGTATTAACCCAGTTCTGTCAGAACTGCAGTCAATTCTATTCTTTTCTAACTTGATTTTGTTCTGAAAATGTGTAATAAGTAGGTCTCCTTGCAGAAAACAGGCCTCTGGAGTTGTAAACTTTATTGATGCTGAGCAGTAGCCTGGTTTTGTGAAAATGGACGTGAAACAGGATTTTGTTTTAAAAATGTGCAACCCTGAGGCCTGACTGAAGACTAGCGGCCTCCGAAGCTTTTACCCTTATATACAATTGAAACCAGAAGTTTGCATACACTGTAGAAGGAGGACGATGGTAAAAGCAGCATGATGGCCAAATGGTTTCCACGGCAACCAGTCAGCTCTGTTTTGTTTAGCGATGAAGCATCCAGTGTTTCACCAGCTGACCTGTTGTCCTTCGAGTACAGTTATTTTAAGCTGGACTGAAAGTTGGTTTGCTGTGAAAGTATTTCCATCCATCTCCTCAGTATCTGGTATCGTTGCCTTTAAACTGTATGACTTGGGTCAAACGTTCTGGGTTTCCTTCCACAAGCTTCTCACAATAGTTTGATGAGTTCTGGCCCATTCCTCCTGACAGAACTGCTGGAACTGAGTCAGGTTTGCTGGTCTCCTTGATCCACTAATGTTCTCCAGGATTGGGATCAGGGCTTTGTGACGTCCACTCCAAAACATTGACTTGGTTGTCCTGAAGCCTCTCTGTAACTGATCTGGGGTCCGTTTCACGAAGCAGGTTCAACAAACTCTGAGTCTAATCCTGAACTTTGAGTTGCTCTGCTCTGAGATAGGAAACTCGGAGTTCCAGAAGGTTCCAGAACAGCGGATTTGAGTTAGTTTAATCAACTCGGAGTAGCTTCACCTGGAGTTCAGCGCGTGCATCGCAACTATAAAAAGCCAGCATCGATTCGACGAGTCACCATGGCAACGGGGAAGCGTTTTTCACCCACTAGAACTGGAAATCTTAATGTGCTCATACAGCAAGTTTGAACGCGTTTTTAAAAAGAAGTGCAAACAGAGGGAGACGGCGTGGAGAACACTGCTGCTCGGGTCAATACGTAAGTTTAAATGTCGTCCTTTAATCACAGTAATATTACAGGAGAACTGCTGGAGTGGCCGCCTATTAGTTTATCTCATTTAGGTGCAATCTGGCGGGGCAGAAGCGCACTGGGCAGCAGCTAAGATGAAACATAAAAACACTGTTCAAGTCTGAGGTTGCAGCACAATGTCATTAACAGAATATAATTTAAAATAAATTTAACAGATCTCTACATCAGTCACCTGCAGTCCTGTGGAACTCCTCCTTGATGGCTCTGACAGGTTTATGTGCAGGGAAAAGGACAAAGATGGTAAAAGCTGTTTCAGGGCGAGGCCACTCCTCTGACCGCCCTGCATACAGGTGTCACTTACTCTGCAGCCGCGGAGTCACAAGAAGAATGTCTGGGATCAGAGCGCCCCCTGCCATGAGGCCAGAGAACTGCCTGCTCCACCTGGAACCTCTTCTCAGCCAGTTATGATGCTCAGCACACGAAACACGTTACACACATACAGCTGGTGACAAAACAACACTGTACATTATTATATACATCAGCTGAACTATGGAAAATCAGTTCATATATTAAATGTTATT